TTGTACGAGACTGTATGACTAGAGGTATTAGAAAAAGAGAAAGAAAACGGACAAGAAAAGTAACATACCCTTACTAGAGGTATTTAAGAAAAAAGAAAGAAAAAGGACAAGAAAAGTAACATACCCTACTAGAGGTATTAGAATAAAAAGAAAGAAAAAGGACAAGAAAAGTAACATACCCTGACTAGAGGTATTAAGAAAAAAGAAAAGAAAAAGGACAAGAAAAGTAACATCCCCTGACTAGAGGGTATTTAGAAAAAAAGAAAAAAAAAGGCAAGAAAAAGTAACATCCCCTGACTAGAGGGTATTTAGAAAAAAAAGAAAAGAAAAAAGGCAAGAAAAAGTAATATCCCTGTAAACTTGAAAATTTTTAGAACATTTTTAAATAAAACAACAATAAGGAGATATCTATGTTAATTTCCCATAAATATAAGGCTAGATGAATTATGAAGAGCAGTAATTTAAAAATGGCCGGGCCGACTTAGAATTACTTGTGTCATTTCGCATGATTTTAAACTTTTTTTTTTCTCATTTCTCATGATTTTAAACTTTTTTTTACTAACATTATTAAACCAATACCAATTGGACTTGAAACTGCTCAAGTGGGATCCCTGAAATCGGAATCGAACTCTCGACGAATCCAAATTCGATTTTTGAAACACTGATCATGGCATTTCAAATGTTGGACAACCTCTGTGATTAATGCATGTGCACTATGCATATGGGCACCATTTTGTATCATTTTCATTTGAAAATAAAATGGAATTTCCTTTCAATAAAAATAACAAATAAGAAATTACACGAAAAATATTGTTATCATGGTTGGAGTCTCCCTCCACCAGGGAGTTTTTAAGTTCATTTTCTCGTAATTCACCCCTTTTTTTCTGCTAAAAATGGAGGAAAAGATCAGTTGTTATGTAACAAATTTGGATGGTGAAACCTCTAGCTTATATACTCAGTAAAAAGCATATTGATTCTCTCTCTCTCTCTCTCTCTCTCTCTCCTTTTTTTATTTTTATTTTTATTTTGTATATTTTTTTATCGAAGTTTATTCCATATATATAATGTGGGGCTTCATTATTACTTAAATGGGGTTATTTAATTATTTTTTAAATGTTAATTTTATTCAGTTGGAAATTCATAAGAGCTTTATAGAAAAATTTTAAGATAGAGTTGACCTTAATTATGATTAAAAGGTTCTCCTTTATTAGTGGACATCGGACGGTTGATGAGTAACTTGCATTTTATTTGAATTCCAGATGAAACCATACTGTGCATTTCCAAAATGATTGCGCCTATTTTCAATAGTCTACTAATTTATTCATTTTTTTAGATTAAGAAAATATGACTTTCTAGTAAATTTACGAATAATAATAATAGCAACTATATCTTGACTCTTCTTATGAGAGAGAAGAAAATTTTTTATTTATTTTCCGAATTTAAAAGTAGTTTTTTGTATTTCATATTTTATACCCATCTTATTTTTTGAGAATATATAATGCCTTTAAGCTTTGTCCTTTCTTTACGCATGAGCTAAAATTTGGTATGTTAATTCTTCTCATAATCATGTACTTATAAACTAGAAGAAAAAATTTATATAAGGTTGACACCTGAAATTGTAGAATTAAGGTGTGACTAAAAAATCCACCCGAAAAGGCCGTTTTGACGTTTTTAATTGATCATCTCGACATCAATATGTATGGGTATGAAAAATTAAGAAAATATATTTTAAGTCCCAAAAAAAGTACATCTTGTAACACATTATCTTGACCATCTATTTTAAAAATTTTCATGTGTTTATAGATCTGTTTGATTTGAAACATTTTTAGTTTTTTAAATTTTTTAATAAGATAAAAATAGATTCTTGGAACTTCCTAGGCACCAAAATTGCTCCTAATGACATAGTTTGGAGGTATGCCTTACTTTGATTGTTTAAAGATGTGACTTTATGCAAAACGCTTATTATTGTAGGGGTGTTTTGACTATTTATTACGTTGAAATTATTTTTAATATTTTCATAAGTTTGTGACGGTGAGAAATACATAAATACTAAATTTGAGATACAAAAAATTAAAATAAACTATATGTTTTCAAATTGTGGGATTGGAATTTAACCTTTCAAATTCAAGGAGCTATTTTTTAATTTTTTAAAACAAAACATGATTTTTCCTGTAAATCTCCCTATTATCAAGGTTGTTTTGGAGTCAAAAAATAAAAATTTATCATCTTGAGTTTCTTGAATAATAGTGATTCTTAAGTGATTATGCAAATTTCAAGTAGGAAAAAATCTTAACTAGCCCGAGGGTGTAAAATAGTGTACCATGCGATGAATTACATGGAATCTACAAATCCAATACGTAACAATTTTTTTTTTTTGTTAAAAAAAATTAAATTCCACATCTATGAAATATATTTTCAAAGACTTTCATAAAGTCTAGGCCTTATGAAAAAAAGGTGAAGTATCAACTCCAATCCTTGTCTAGAAAGCACTATGAGCATTAGAAATCTCCATGACCGGTCTAAAATCAATTTCCAACATTGACTATAAATTTTGAATCTAAAAGAAATACATAACTTGTCATATGTAAACACTTATTTTTAGAACAAATGGATAGTCTACACAATGTATCACAATATGGGAAATGATCTAATGCAACGGTTGTATAGAAGTATAATGGAATCACACTTCTAGAAAACCATATGTTTGTCATTTGTATGACTCCAATTTTGCACACACATTCTCTTCATCCTCATAATCAATCATACGAAAAAAAATTCAATTTGTATCCTAGATATGGTCAAAATTAGTACACATCCATCGATGAATCTCGGCCATCCATTTGATGAATTTCAATATCCAGGCTTTAACAAATTCAAAATCACAATTTTATTTTTTAGTATTATTAATCTAATGATGATAACGCTATATAAAAATTTTGGAAATAAAAAAATCATTCTAAGGCCTATATCTAACCATCTCAATAAAATAGACGGCTTATATTAATTGGGCTAAAATGAAAACTTTCTAAAGCATTATACTACTATACAACTGTTGCATGAAATCATTCCCCATCACATTATACATTATTTTTAAAGTTCAAAATCCTATTTTTTTTGCCAACATAATGATCAAGGCGGAGATGATCGATTCGAAGGTCTATCAAAAACATTTTCCCATTTTCAAAGCACCCAAACTCGACGATGGAGCTTTACTTTTTATGGTGAAGCCGAGGTCTCACACTTTTCTCAAAAGCAATAATTACAAAATTGGGATTTGTTTTGGTTGCCGTTTCTGTAAGGTTGCAAGCTTAAACAATCTAATTAAAGTGCACTTTAAAATTTTATTATAACACATAATTTTATTGTAAAAAATGCTTAGTACTATCTTAAAATCTATTTTTATATCTAATTAAAAAATTTTGAAGTTGAAAAATGGTTAAAATCAAGTAGATCTATTAATATATAAAAATATTGAAAATGGATGGTCTAAATAATGTGTTGCAACATGCAATATTTTCGATACTTAAAACTTTTTGTTTTCATATTCATGGATCACTTTGTTGAGATAATCGATTAGGTGGTTTTTTCAACATTAAAACGACATTTCCCATAGATTTTTTGAGGTGCATATGTGATTCTATATTTTGAGGTTGCAACCTCATATAAACTTTTTCCTTTTTTTTTAAAAAAAAATTAAACTTTTTACGAATGCTTCACGTTTTCTTTCCTAAAATACCCCTTACTAGTTAATGAAACTTCCGTTCTCCTCTCTCTCTCTAAAACAAAACATAAACCCTACCAGCGGGAAACCGATCTACACCTCTCTCTCTCTCTACACCTTTTCAACACTCTCTCTCTACCCTTTCTCTCTCTCTGCCATTGCTTCTGTTTCTGCGTGCCTTGTTTTCTCCATTCGAGGTGCGCTCTCTCTCTAAATTCTCTCTTCCTGACTAGACCATCACAAATTAAAGATCATATAGAAATTATTTTAGATTGTTCCGTGTTGGATCTCATATCGAAGTTTTCATTTCGGTAACTTATTTTGCTTTTTTTGGCCCCATTTTTGCATATTGCTTTTCAACTGCTATGAAATTCGTGATTGTTTGTCTTCGAGCTCTTTTCTCTTTTCCCAGTTCTTTGAATATTGTTTTGTGTATTAATCAACATTCGATTGATTGGTCCGAGGTGATTCCTTCAATTTCTTTAGTTTTGGTTTTGGGTTACAAGGGATGTTTTGGTTTAGTGTAAGCCCGAAATTCTGGTCGTCGTGTTGCCCTAATGTTTAGAAGCTTGAATTTGAGCAAGCTTATTTCTTCTTTTGTGATTCTCTAATTCTCTAAACAAAATGGTCATTTCGAATACACCAGTAGAAATTTGGATTGAAATGAAGTTTATTTGATCAAAAGAGCATAAAATGAGTGTAATTTTCTGTGAATTGCGATTTTTGAGCAGATTTTTATAATTGGAACCGTGTAAAGCTTCGGTACTGCGACGGTGCCTCTTTTGCTGGTGACTCTGAGTTTCATAATGGGGTAAGTTACTTTTTTTCTGTTTTCCTGTAATTGTTTCTCTCTTTCTTTTTGTTTCATAATTTTCCATTGGTTTTCTTTTAATTAGATGAAGCAGTAGGATATTTTATTTTTTAATCGTGGTTTTGATAAGTGTGATAATGGTTTAGATAATGGTACTGCTCATGCATGTTATGCCACATAATAGTAAATATTGTTTTTAAATGAACGACTTTTTCTGGGAGAACGCATTTTCTTCTTAGAAACTGCTGTTGCATAGTGAAATAGAGGTTTTAAATATGTTATTATCGTGGTTATACCTGCATTTACTGCAAATGTCGCCAAATAACTGAGACATTTAAAAAATAACGGCTGTGATAAATGTTATAATGGAATTATATTAGCATGTCCTGTTATAACGGTCATTTTTGCAGTAAAAACTGTTATAACGACCTTTATAACATGAATGCATGTTATAACGGTCACTGTAACAGTATAACCCTGACTATTATAAGGCCCTATAATTGATTGAGAATCTTCAAGGAATGGCATTTTCCAGAAACAACTCTAGGGCTTTCTTAGGAAGTGAATGTTTTACGGATGGCAATTCAAGTCCAAACTAGTCATTTATAATTTTATAAATCATTCACATATACAAAGAATGACTGTACAAAGAATGACTGGAACGTGTTGGATGAAGATATTAAGTTCAAACTCGTCATTTATAATTTTATAAATCATTCATAACTACAAAGAATGATTGTAACATATTAAATGTTAATATAATGATTGAAAATACTGTACTTAACTAGATATAAATTGAGTCTTGTCACTAGTCTCTTATATTTAGCATGGAAGGTAATAGGATAATAATATGTATATAGTAAATTTTAGTTTTTGAATCATTTATTTTTAAACCAGGACTGGAAGGGGTAAGAAACCAGACCAGTTCTACCAGTACTGCACCCGACTAGATGGTGGCAAACTCCAATGCAACTTTTGTGGCAAACAAACAACCGCCGGTATCACAAGAATGAAAAAGCACTTGGCTGCCAGGACCGGAGACGTTGCAATATGCACCCAAGTGCCAAAAGATGTGATGTTGCTTGCAATTAAGGTCCTTGACAAGCTTAAAGCGGAGAAAAGAGCTAGACTAGAGGACTCCGAATATGAACCAATTGAAACAAGTAATGGAGATGATGAAGGTACACATTATATAGAATACCACCCTAAAGAAGAGCCTTTACCAACACCAGTTTCAATTCAAACACCACACCCAACTGATTCATCACCACGTTCTGGGTTGTATAAGAAGCTTTTTGGCCATGGGGGAAGCAGTGGTGCTACTAGTGGCGTTGATGATATGACTTCTAGTACTCGGGGTAGTAAGGGAAAATCAAAGCATTCTCGACCTCCTCGCCCTGTAGTCGATTCTTCGAGGTCTCGTAATGATCGTCGAGATGATCAACCCATGGTCCCCAACATGATGAGTAGGCCTTCTCGGGATTCAGTGTGTGAGCTCATATCGAGGATGTTTTTTGATAATGCAATTCCATTGAGTGTAGCGTCTTCAAGCTCGTTTAGGGAGGCCATGAATGCCATTGCGAATTGTGGCAAAGGTTTTGAAGCTCCGACCGCCTCTGAGATAGGTGGTCCATTTTTGAGGAAAGAGAAGGTGAGGTTAGAAGAGAGTGTGATTTCCCATCGTAGGTCACAATGGAAGCAATATGGTTGTACGTTGATGGCAGATAGTTGGAGAGATCGGCGGGGGCATACCTTAGTTAACTTCTCAGTTTATTGTTCTTCAGGTATGTAATTTAAGTTTTGCGTACTCAATTTCTTAGAGAGTTGCTGTCTTTCTTGTAGAAAAAACCAGTAGAGAGTTGCAATTTGTTGGTATACTAACTGAAAAAATATTAAATCTTGTAGGAACGACATTCTTGAGGTGCATGGATATTAGTGATAATCGCATGACTGCTGATTATATTTCCAGTGTCTTTAAGGATGTCATTGAATATGTGGATCCAAAGAATATTGTGCAGATTATTATGGATCAAGGGCCCGAGTTCAAGTTGGCTGAGAGAGGTCTGGCAGAAGAGTATGGCCAAATATTCTTTGGAGCATGCACTGCCCATGTCATTGACCTCATTCTTCATGATCTAGAGAAATTTGATTGGGTTAAAGAGCTTATTGGTGATGGAATGAAAATATCTAAGTTTGTTTATAACCATGCTTGGATCCTCGCCAAATTTAGAAAACTCTCCATTGGTCAAGACCTCATCCATTCATCTCGCACTCACTATGCTACAAGTTTCATTGCCATTCGAAGCATGGTGAATCGTATGATGCCCCTTCAACAACTATTTGTTGACCCCGAATGGAGGGACTCTAGTTATTCAAAGACTGAATTGGGGAAGAATGTCCAAAAGTTAGTGATGAGTGAGGGCTTTTGGAAGAAAGCAAAAAATGCGGTAGCTATGGTGGAACCGTTGTTAAAGATCTTAAGATTGGTTGACTCAGATAAGCCCACAATGGGTTATATCTTCGATGCTATGTGCACTGCCAAGGCCTTGATAAAAATGTTTTTGGGTGAGTGTCGGTCCACAAATGTGTGCAAGATCATTGACAGTAGGTGGAGAGATCAGCTTCACTCAGATCTACATGCTGTTGCATATCACCTAAACCCATATTATTTGTTCAAGCCATCAAGTAACATTGGAGGAAATGAAATATGCTATCCTGAGTTGGCTGTGCACACGGTGATATCTCGCTTGGTCCCAGACCCAACTGAGCAAGCACGTGTTGTTATACAGGTAATATTTGGGAATGATCCTAAAGAAATTTTCCTGCAGGTTTCTTGTAGTATAAGTCAACAATCATTGGATCCAATCCAGCTTTGAGATGTGATGGTACTTGTGGTGATTAATACTTTGCTATATACATACATCACTGGGTTGGATCTTATGGTTGTAGGCTCTTATTATACCAACACCTATAGGAAATACTTCAGTCTAATTATTTCCCATTTGTTCCGTTTCACAAGTTTGCTTGTAAATTCCCAGTAATGACATTCATTGATATAGTATTGATTACCCTTGGGGCAGGTGGGACAATTCTCTCGTAAACTAGGGATCATGGGGACAGATGCTGCAAGAATAGCTGCACAAATGGGGAGTCCCAGTAAGTTTCTTTCTGTACAGTAGGAACAATTATAACATTTTCAAGTTACCTTCTTAATTATGATAAATATGAATGTTGGCACCCAACAACTTATTCAAACTCTGCATTTCTTTTTTAGTTGACTGGTGGAGCGCTTATGGGGTTGAGTTGGGAGAACTCCGAAGTGTAGCAATCAGAATTTTAAGTCAGGCAAATGCATCATTTGGTTGTGGGCGAAATTGGAGTATAATCAACCAAATACGCAGTAAACAAAGGAATCAGCTGGCGATGAAGAGGCTCAATGACCTGGTTTTCGTCCAATATAACTTGCGACTAGAGCAACCAAGGAGCGAGAGGCTTAAACGCTCGCGTATCGATCCTATTAGTGTTGAGGCATTTCTCACAGAGGATCCATTAACCGAATGGATTGCAAGAGACGATGTTGAACCAGAGTTCCCAGAGGACCTTCACCGTTTGGAAGGGATAGATGATCAGCATGTAATGGAGGAGCCTGAGACTTCAGCGCAGGGGAATCTTGCTGCTTCAGCTCTTGATACTGAATTCCCTGAACACTGGTCTCAAGCACCAATATATCAACAACCATTAGATCCATTACCTGAAGATTATTTTGAGTTTGATTTTGATCAGCTACGTATTGATCCTGGTCAACCTGACTATTTCCGATCTGTCATGGGATCTGACCCATCACAGCAACCATATTATGGTTCACAATTTGATGTTAATGAGGATACGACTCAATATGAATGACAACCTCTTGCTCGAAATTAACGAAATTTGATTGTCCATTAGTTAATCATCTTATTTTGCAAGTAATTTCCATTAGATTGTCCGTGGTAATTTTATATTCTTATGTGAACTTATGAGCATGATAATTGGACCTTTCGCTTCACACTTATATATATATAATCTGACATTTCGCCTAAGAAGAAAAGGAAAGTCAACCCCAGAATTTTTCAATCAGTCGTTCATTGGAAAATTATTTGCATAATAATCCGTGCCTTCTTTCAATATCATCTCTATATTATAATAGCAAACTTGAATAGCTATAAACAGATCGCTAAGAGTTTGAAATTAGTAGTATGTTCGCATCTTTGCTCAAAAGTTGTGAGAGCCAATGGAAAGTGATACCAATTCACTTAATCTCGACTCTTCCTATGGTTGTGAACCAATAGACTTTGTGAAATGTGATCTTTTGCCTTCATAATAGTGGAAGTCGTTAAATCTTATCTATAATATATGAGAATTTATACCATGATATGTGTCATCATGAATTTCATGGTGGAACTACTACATGCCACGCAAAATCTGCAGCATGCCATGTCCTGGTATACTCTCTCTCATGTATGTATTCCTATCTATCCATCCATCGATCATCCTGGTCCTCTGTGTGTGTGTGTTTTTGTGTTTCCTTTTGTACTCTTGAGCTGGTTTGGTAGCACACCCAATTGTTATGTAGCTTGCACGGACGTTTTTGTCTAGTATCTAATCTGTTGTGCTGAGCAGACAATGGAACTGTACTTTAGGGGACAAAGGATCTGGGAAGCTATTATTTATGACCTCCTTCAGAAGGGGCTGATCAATGTAAAAAAGGTTATCCATTAAGCTCTTCACTTTTTCTTTTTTTTTTTTTTTGGCAATGCTTCTATAAAATTATTTAATCATTGAATTGCGTTGGAAGGGGTAGCTGCTGAATTATTTCGCATGTTAAAATTCCAGTTATTTTGAAATATTTTGAGATGGCTACTTCTAGTGTGTTGCACCACTTTGTTTGATGTTATTAGAAAAAATCTCCTTGAAAATTTGAATATTACGCTCGAACCCATTTTTCTTGTTCTTTTCCTTTTTTCTCCGCAAAATGCCCTAACTTTAGAAATTGGAACTCCGAAGTTCTTTTATCCCTTTATTGAATTTTTTTTCTGAACTTTGGATTTCAAAAATCCGAAGTTATCTGTGAATGTAGCAAAGCACATAGGCTTACTACATTCCAGTGATTACTTCGGATTTTCAAAACCCAAAGCTCTTTGAACTTCAGATTTGAAAATGCGAAGCTACCTATGGATGCAGCAAGCATATAGGCTTACTGCATTCCAATAGGCTCCAAAGAGTATCCTTGGATTTTGAAAATCTGAAGTTCAGAGAAAATCCAAAGTTCCCTGTGGATGCTTGTAAAAAGAGAGGAAAGAAAGTGGTTTAACTTTTTCAAAATTAAGGGGTCAAAGAACCGCAGAGTTTTAGGTTCCAAAGTTATGGCTTTTATTTTTTATTTTTGGTGGGGGTCAGGGGAGGAAAAAAGTGGTTATGAACGTAATATTTTCAACTTCTAAGATTTTTTTAATAGCAGTAATTTGAAGGGCTAATAGCATAAATTTCTCAAAAGCATAAGAAACAGTTGTGTATGTTAAGGTGGATGCACTTGGTGTTTTGTGATAATATAGAGTTGAAGACAAATGATTATCCTTATTGATATATCTTATAACGTTACAAGAACATGATTAAACTAAAATGCTTCTTGTGGGCTTTGGTACTTTTTGAATGAACTGAACTCTTAGACTGTCTCAACTTCTCTTGTTGGATTTGCATATAGTAATTGAATTCTGGAGTTAAGAATAAATCTGGAGTTAACAATAATTTGGAAGTCTATTATTTAATATTGATTCATTTGTTAAATGTCATTGATTTCAATTGTGCTCTTCAATCATTTTTGAGTGAATGATTAATGATTGAGTTATCCTCACATCCAATTTGGCATTTGTTTTAGTCCCTTCTTCCAAGTTGAAGCATCAAATCACAAAAGGAGAGCTAAGGGCTAATTGAGTTGATGAAATATGAGAAAATGAACATTAGCATGCGGCTTCCATCTAGTGGGTTGTTGATCATTGTTAAGATTGAGAGAGGAGAGAGAGAGATAAAGAGTAATATTCAAGCACAAGATAAGTTGGGAAAAGGCTTTGATGATGATGATGATTCAAGCACAAGAAGTAGATACTTATATTTTTCACACTCGACAAATCGTAGGGCAATGTTGCCCTATATATTCACAGATTCCTATAGGGTTACAGTGTGGGTAGGTTAACATGCAAAATAATTAGAACCATTACAGCATGAGTTAACAATAGAGTAATATTCAAGCACAAGATAAGTTGGGAAAAGGCTTTGATGATGATGATGATTCAAGCACAAGAAGTAGATACTTATATTTTTCACACTCGACAAATCGTAGGGCAATGTTGCCCTATATATTCACAGATTCCTATAGGGTTACAGTGTGGGTAGGTTAACATGCAAAATAATTAGAACCATTACAGCATGAGTTAACAATAGAAGTTACAATAATTGTTATAGTAGGTTCTAATGGACCTGAGGTCCATTATTCATAGGAGTTGCAAGTTGTGATGGGCGTTAGCCCATAACACCATAACAACCACTACATGAGAGCATTATGCATAGGAATTACAACTGTTACACAGGTTTTAATGAGCATGAGCCCATAACAGTTGCTTCACTTCTCCCTCAAGTTGGAGCATATATATCATAGATGCTCAACTTGCCGAAAGTATCCTTTAGTCTAGCTCAATTAGAGGCCTTGGTGAGTATATTGGCCAATTGAACCTTTGAGCGAACAAATGGAGTACATATTGTTTTTGAAGCGACATTTTCTCTGACAAAGTGGCAGTTGACCTCAATATTTTTGGTTCTTTCATGAAATACAGGATTCGAAGCAATATAAATTGCCCTCCCTGTGATTATCACAATGTAGAGGAATAGGAGTTGATACATTAACACCTATCTCTTGAAGAAGAGAATGGAGCCAAATTATTTCACATGTAGCACTTGCCATTGCTCAATATTCAGCTTCTACTGAAGATCGAAGTATCGAACTACAATACTTTGCTTGTTACTCTTCTATGTGACTAAATTACCAGCCACTATTGTATAGTAGCCATTGGTAGATCATTGATCAAGAGATCACTCGGCCCAATCTTCATCTTAGAAATCTTGTACATCAAGATGACCATGACTGGTATAAAGTAGCCCTCTCCTTGGAGCAGAAATTTAAATATCGTAAAATGCGATAAACAACCTCCAAGTGATGGGAGCATGGTGCGTGCATAAACTTACTTTCCACGCTCACAATATATGCAATGTCTGGTCATGTGACAATCAAATAGATAAGTCTACATACTAATCTATGATATACACCAGGGTTACTCAGAGGCTCTGATTGCTGATTATACAGTTTGTGATTAACCTCTACGGAGATTCTGCTGGTTTGGCTCCAAGGATTCCTATGTCACTGAGGACATCACAAGTATACTTTATTTGAGACTTAAACATTCTTTGTTTAGATTTAGCCACTTGTATTCCAAGGAAGTCTTTCGATGAATCGAGATCCTTGATGTCAAAAGCACCCTACAAGAACTCTTTCACTTTTTGAATTTTGTGATCATTATTTCCTGTGAGTACAATACATCCACATACACTATCAGTATTGTGGTAGAACAAGATTCTCTTTTAACAAATACAGAATGATGAGAAACACTCATTTGAAATCCCAATTGACATATTGCCATACTAAATTTTTTAAACCAAGTTCAATCCATATATAGCTTTTCTCAACTTGCAGACCTTTCCTTTCTCCCCTTGAGGATAAAACTGAGGTGGTAATTCCATAAATACTTTCTCTTGCAGATATCTATGGAGAAAAGCATTCTTCATGTCTAATTGGTGGAGTTGCCATTTCCTATTTACTGTAAAGATAAAGTACCCGTACTGATTTCAACTTTGCCATATGAGCAAAAGTCTCCTTATAATTAACTTCGTATGATTGTGTAAAACCCTTTGCCACCAGACAAGCTTTGTATCTCTCAATCAAATCATCTGGTTTGTACTTTAGGGTACCCACCTACATCCTACCGCATGTTGCCCTTTGGGCTGATCAATTACATCCCAAATTTGATAATTCTCTTAAGGCAATCATTTCCTCAATCATGGCTGCTTTCCATTGTGGATGAGCCAATGCATCTGCAACTTTGGTGGGATTAGCAACGGAGGAAGTAGAGCAATGGTATGCACGAAAAGAAGGCGAAAATGAAGCGTAAGAAGCAAACTTACTGATAGGAAGAGAAGTACAAACACTTTTTTTTTCTTATGGCAATAGGTAAATTGAACTTAGAAGATATAGGGGTAGGAGGAGAAGTACCTAACGCGTCAACGGGTTGGGGTTGATCGTTTACATTAGACTTTCCCTTGTTCTTTTTTTGAGTGTACACATTCAGTAGTTTCTTAGTAGATTCCAAATGTGCCTCGGTTGAATTACCTGAACTATCTGTTATCATTAGAAGAGGAATAGGATTTCTGGGTGGTATAGTGGATATCAAATCTCTTTGGGAAGAAAAATAGAGTATTTCTTAGAGAATGTAACATCTTTCGAGACATTTTTCCTTTTAGTTTCCGGATAGTAACACTTGTATCTTTTATGAGAGTTCGAGTATCCTAGATATACACATCTAGTAGATTGAGGTCTACTTTATTCCTTGCTGGCCCCAGTGTATGCACAAAGCAGATACAACCAAAAGTTTTTGTTGGAAGAGAAAACAAAGGAAGTGTATGGTGGAGAAGTTTAAAAGGATAAGTACTATCAAGAATAGGTGTAGGCATCTATTGATCATATAGGCAGCAGTTTGAACTGCTTCATCCCAATATGTCTTAAAACCTCCATTCCTATTAAGGTGCCTCTCACCACTTCTAACAAATTTCTATTTTTCCATTCTACCACACCATTCTGTTGTGGTGTATGGGAATATGATATTTGATTTT